TCCAGTGCGGCTGGGGTTGTTTCAGGTTTGTTTTCCACGGCGGGTGTTTGCTCCTCATTTGGAGGGGCCTGTCATCCGCCGCGGCTCTGCGCAGAGCCGGTGCCTTGAGGAGCTGCAGATGCTGCGCCCAGAGCCGCGCGGTTTATGGAAGCTTGTTAGATGCAGAAGAGCATGTTTGTCTCTGCTTTTCAACATGTTTGTGCATTTTCCTCCTGAAGTCTGTGGTTCAGTTTCACCTTCTTTTTGTGAACTTAAAGAACTGGAGAAAATGGTTTGGGAGGTAAAAGATGTTTTATTTTCAGAAAATGAAAAGTGTCCTTAAGTGTCTCTCTCTCTCTCTCTCTCTCTCTCTCTCATATCCTTTTCTCCCTCTCATCCCTCCCCTTCCCTACTCTCCACTCTTCCTTCCCAGGCTGGAGGTTACCAACTTCCTTGTCGGGAGAAAACCACTGTAATAAATTTTGCAGTTCATTTAAAAAGGCAGACTTTGTCTTTTTTGGCTGTCTTCCTAACCCTCCTTGTCGGTGCCACCCGCCTCCTCCTGGCTCCCTACGGGCAGGTGGGATGCCTTGCCTGGTGTCCCCGCAGGACAGCGGTGCTTGGCCCCAGCAAGCCCCCGCTGCCCACAGGTGTCTCTCCCGGAGTGCCGCCTGCCTTCGGCAGGACCGGGACACTACGGCTGCGGGAGGGGGGGGTCGCTGCTGTGGTGTGATTCAAGGCATCGGTGACTCAGAATCTGGTTCAAAGTGCTGCTGGGAATTGCCATAGCGACTCTGAGTGCATTTTGTAAGCGAGCTCACAAATGACAACATTTATGGGCAATTAGCTTAGACACAGGATTTTTCACGTAGCCCTTGGTGCTCACTGTGGCCGAGAGCCCCCGGCACGCTGTGCACTGTGGCAGGGAGCAAAACTACAGCAAAGCACAGAGCTCTGCAATAGCTTTGATGACCTGTCTGTAAGTATTTCAGTGCTGGGAAGTGCCCCATACCCTGGCTCTCCCTGATCCCGGCAGCTGGAGATGCTGCTTGGCTGACACCGATAACCGGAGTGCTGCACTCACATCTCACTCTTCTGACCAGCACAGGGCTGCTCCAGGGCTGCAGTGCCCAACAGCGCTTAAATGCATGTTGGCCAGCACACGCTGTGCTGAGACCAGGGAACGCAGTGCAACACGGGAGACAGCACATGGGAGAACGCAGTGCTCTGGTCCCCTGCACCGTGGCCAAACCGCCCTCCCCTGCGTTCAGCCATGTAAAGCCACTGCAGGCTGCTGCGCCTGAACACGATCCCATTCCCATGGATACATTGCAAGAAGGAGAGAAGGTTGCCTTTAAAATCAGCATTTACTGTCATCATAATCAGCAAAAACCCCAACACGTTTTATGTGCTCTAAACACTAGGGAGGTAACAGGAGAATGTCAGATGCGAAGAACAGAGGGAAAGAAAACATAACCCCAGCTGGCGAGGGGCCACGCCAGCGGGGTGGGAGCCCCAGGAGGAGCAGGGAGAGGATTTTTGTCCTAAACAGCAGAAGATGCTATTGAAGTCAGCTGCTTTAGAAAAGACTTGAAGCCAGTCGCTGTCTTCCTTAGTGCATGTGCTTCCTATGCGGCCTGTCCCCAGCCCTGCCCCAGCAGGGCAGCGCGACGGGCCAGCAGCGGGGCCAGGGAAGGCAGCCATCCCCGCCTGCACGGGAGCACGGGGGCACCGCCTGGGCACGGCTGGCACGGG